TATATATATATATATACATATATATATATATATATATATATATATATCTGATCTAATATATCTGATTGTATAATAATATTATAGTCTGATCTATTTAAGCAAATTTGATTATAAACAAATTATTAAGGAACACTGTTCCATTTTATTAAAGAATATATATAATATTTAAGACATCTTAATTATAAGACATAATAATGTTCTTCGGGATATTCAATTCATATTCAATTAATGTCTCAACGGCAGCACATTGAAACAAAATAAATTACTAAAATCAAATGAAAAATATTTTAACTTCAAGACATCATAATGTTTTCCAGGATCATATTTAATTGATGTTCCAAAATGTCAGTACTGAAACAAAGTAATTTACTTAGTTTTGCTATAATCAAATCTACAAATAATAAATTATTATTAATAAATTTAATAAAATTAAGTAAAAAATACCTTTTTTTTCTCTGGAACAAAGTAATTTTATTTACTTAGTTTTAATTGCTATAATCAAATCTACAAATAATAAATTATTATTAATAAAATGTCCAAAGTTACTAGATTTAAAAAAAGATTTGAAATCTCAAATCACTAGATTTGAAATAAATTGAGACTTAAAAGTTACTAAATTGAAAAGTTGGGATTTAAAAGTTACTAGATTCCGAAAGATTCTAAATATTATTAAATTCTGTATGTTTTTGAAAGTTAGGGCCAAAGCACATATGACAGTCGTAGTCGTGGACGTAAGTAACGCACAAGCTTTGGCGTATCCTGATCTGTCAGGTCGGGGACTACGACCGTCGTATATCGCTACGCCATGTTATGTGCTTTGGCTCTTACTCTATTTTAAAAATTATTTCTGAGTTATTAAAATGACTAATTTAAGATTTCCGCAGCTATTAAGCCCCTTGCACGCCAGGCAACAGGCAATAGGAACAGGGAATAGAAATCAGAAATCATGTATAAATGCAGAATAAACAGTGACACAGGCAATAGACACAGAGTTTCCGTCACGTTGGAAATTCTGTGCCTATTGCCTATTGCCAACCAATCATAGCATTTGAATTTTTTAGGTTGTAATTAACGATTTTTTGGTTATTTCCTGTTCCTATTGCCTGTTGCCTGGCATTGTGCAAGGGGCTTTAGACTCCAAATTCACTGTCAAACGAAGGAACCAATTGAATTCAGCGGACATTTCGTTTCCAACAGTTTCCAAGCAACGCCGCGCGGCGGACACCGGCGCCACGGTACGATGTCCGCGATATTGGCACCGCTGGGTAGCGTCATCGGCGAATAGTGACGTTTCGCCGCGCGACGTTGGCCACGTCGTCGCATGACGAGAGATCGACTCGGGGACAAGTGTGTGGCTGTGCGCTTGGCTTCATTCGTTCGTGTTCGTTCGGTAACAATGGCGGCAGACCTCGACCAGTTTCAACAGCTTCTGAATACACTCCTCAGCACAGACAACGATGTCCGGACGCGGGCGGAGGTACGTGTAAACGCCTGGGTGAATTCTCGCGGTCGCGCCCGCTCGACGTCGATCGCGCGCCGGGATGCTGCCGCAGGCCGCCCGGCGGATCGCGGCACACGTTCCGTCGTGCCGAGCACGTTGCCGACGTGTTGTGTGTCAGAGCTCGGGCGCGGGCTGCTCCGGCCGGCGTCGGTCCGCGCGACGCGGTCCGTCAAACGGCGACGTCGCCGGTCGGTTCATCATCGTCGACCGCGAGGAATCCGTCGAGCGCGACGACCGGGCGTCGAATTTCCGCGACGCGCCTACCCGCGCGCGATCGGTCAAGAAATCCAAAATGGTGGCCTCCCCGCACGCGGGCATCGCGCGCCCCGCGTGCCATCCGTCAGCTCCGCGTGTACGGGCGACACGAATGCCGACGCTCGCCGGCGTGCTCTGCTCCGAACTATTTTTTTTTTCTTCACGGGCAGCGCGACTTGCTCGCGATCAACGCGATGACGCGATTAACGTCCGGCCGTGCGTCCGTCCGTCCCCGCGCGGCACGCGCGTTCCACGCGAGATGCGTCTCGGTTTCCCGCCTACACACGCGAGCCACGCGATTTCCGGCGACATCGTGGCGTGCACCGCGTGTGCATCGTCGTTCCTCTGGTTCCGCGATGTTCGCGAGCCGCCCGAGAATATCGGCTCGCGAATCGCGACTTTGATGCCGCTCGGCGCGCTCTATATATGCCTTTTACCTTGACTCACGGCACGATCACGTGTCGAGCGTAATTCGTCGAATATTCATACGTGCGTCGATTACGATATGTACGCCGCACGAAATGCGTCAGATCCAGCTTGGTAAATTTAGTTCAGGAGAGAGGGAGAGAGAGAGAGAGAGACTGAAAGAGAGAGAGAGCTTGGATTTTGGCATCTATGAAGATAAATATCTGTAGATATATTCATTGCACATTGCTTTGTATATAACATATAATGTATAACAACAGGATAAAGACATTACAATGACTTTACAATTTTCATGTCGCTTCTTCTTTTGCGCTTTTGTAAAATTTGATTTTTCTTATAGAAAATTATGTGTTTCATTCTTCAAAGGAAAAATTGATGCTTTTTAGATAAATATAAATTTGTAGGAAATTTTGAATAAAGAAACTTTATAGCTTAACTTTCTAAAGGAATTGTATTATTTGATTAGAAAGCTTATATTATGTCATTGGGAATTTAACAAAGATCTTAAATAATCAACGATATTTTTAATGAGAAATTGAAATTATTTAGGAGGCATACGGAAATCTTCCAGTGGAAAGCAAGGTGACGTTTCTGTTAACTACCGTTTGCAATGGCACGCTTGCAGAAGAGATGCGGGCCATAGCCGCAGTGTTGTTGCGTCGGTTATTCTCTTCAGAATTTCTGGACTTTTATCCTAAGGTAGTCTAAAAAAGCTCCTTTCCTTAATTTCCAGTTGCTACATAAAATATCTTTCTTAAAATAAGCTTTTTTTCAATTTAGCATTATTGCTACTTTGTTTCTTAAACGGTTCTTATCAAGAAATTAACTTAATAATCATCTACGTTTGAATCAAAGGTCAGTTAAAGATAAATTTGATATGCAATTATTTCACAGATTCCACCGGAGGCGCAAATCCAATTGAAAGAACAAATTTTACTATCAGTCCAAACCGAACAAACCGAAAGTATCCGACGTAAAGTTTGCGACGTTGCAGCCGAAGTTGCCAGGAATTTAATAGACGAAGATGGTAATAATCAGTGGCCGGAGTTTCTTCAGTTCCTATTTCAATGCGCGAATAGTCCGTTGCCGGCATTAAAAGAGAGCGCGCTTCGTATGTTTACGTGAGTTTTTTTTTTTATATTTATCTTGTATGAGTGGTGTATTTATTAAGAATATGAGAGTAAAGCGTATTAAATGTGCATGCAGATCCGTCCCAGGCGTATTTGGAAATCAACAAGCAAATCATCTCGATCTTATAAAACAAATGTTACAACAATCTGTTTTGGACCCGACAAATTATGAGGTAATGTGAAATTTGCGTACTCATTTATTTTTCGTACTTTTATTTAGTCTAACAGGAGATAGATACGCGAGTCTCGACAAGATGAGATTACTCGTCACATAATTTCTCCAAAAAAAATATATGCCTTCTGATGACTGTAACTTGTGAAGTATTAATTTACAGACAGATACGGGGCATACATTTTATATGGAATAGTTACATTTGTGTTGACGTCCTAAACAAAAATTTTTTTTTTAATTATCAAGTTTTCTATAAGAGTAATTGTAATAATTGCAATTGTTCTTGTCACACAGGTCAGGTTTCAAGCAGTAAGAGCAATTGGAGCGTTTATAACATTACATGACAAAGAGGAAAATATACACAAGCATTTCTCAGAACTAGTTCCAGCGCTTGTACAAGTAACCGCCCAATCTATAGAAAAGCAAGATGATGATGCTCTTATAAAAGTGTTGATAGACCTTGCTGAAACCACGCCAAAATTCCTCAGGGGACAATTAGACAATGTTATGCAAATGTGCATGAATGTATTCTCCAATGAAGAGATGCCTGACTCTTGGAGGCAATTGGCACTAGAAGTTTTGGTGACTCTAGCAGAGACTGCACCAGCTATGGTACGCAAAGTTGGTGAAAAATACATTGTATCTTTAGTACCATTGGTATTGAAGATGATGACTGATTTGGAAGAAGATGAAAAATGGAGTTTCTCTGATGAAATTATCGAGGAAGATAACGATAGCAACACTGTAGTTGCGGAAAGTGCTTTAGATAGATTGGCGTGTGGCCTGGGAGGGAAGACTATGCTACCACAAATTGTGCAAAATATCCCTACAATGTTAAATAACAATGATTGGAAGTATAGGTAAACAATCTTTATTTTTTATATATTTAGTTATAATTTATATATATGATATTTATGAACGTATTCACAGAAAAGTCAGCAGTTACATACTTTTATGTAATTGCGTTACGTCTGTGATAGAATAACGAATGAGATAATTCTCTTTCCCAGCTGCCGTTTTGGCAGTTGGTCTGAGACTCTCATTGGATGTTTAAAATGAGAATTGGCAGTTGTACGATATGACTGCTATAATTACAAAAACATACAGTTTTTTAAATATTTGTTAAATAATAAAATTTTATATCTTTATCCTTGTCCATTGTGTATATAAAAATATATTTTCTATTATTTAGACATGCAGCACTTATGGCTATCTCAGCTGTTGGTGAAGGGTGCCACAAGCAAATGGAAGCTCTTTTACCACAAATAATGGACGGAGTCATACAATATTTACAAGATCCGGTAAATACAAAGACACGCTTGCTTCATAATTTTATTTGACATCAGCTATTAGTTTAAAATTATTTCTTCTTACATCAAATTATATGTATGTAATTTACTAAGCCACAAATAAATCCGACAGTTATATTTATTTGGATATGACTAGTGATACAACTGTGGCAAATTAAGCACAGGATACAAATTCTTTCAATATTACTGTTTTAGTAATACAGAAAATCAAAATTTGTTCCTTGCGGTTCCTGAGAGCTGACTACTGCTAGTAGTAATAGTAGTCATAGTTTTGGAACATATATTTCCATTCACAAACATAATATAATATAAAAATAAAATTTGTGGATAAATTAAGTAATGTTGGATCTTTTTTTTTTTTTAGCATCCTCGTGTAAGATACGCTGCCTGCAACGCAGTAGGTCAAATGTCTACAGACTTTTCGCCCATATTTGAAAAGAAATTTCATGATAAAGTTATCCCTGGATTATTGATGGTGTTGGACGATAACGCAAATCCCAGAGTTCAAGCTCACGCTGGCGCCGCTCTTGTGAACTTTAGCGAAGATTGTCCCAAAAATATTCTCACTCCATACCTCGATGCCATAATGGCTAAACTTGAATCTATCCTGACTGCTAAATTCCACGAATTAGTTGAAAAGGGAACTAAGCTCGTACTGGAACAGGTAAGTTGAGTTATTCTTAGCTTTATGCTTTTTATATCCAGCCGCCCATGGGAGCTGTTGCTTTATGCAGATTATGAATTTAAAATGAGGAATCAAATCCGAAATCTGCCAATTATAAGTTTGCCATTTCCACATAAAGCCACGTTAAATTCTCGAGTTATAATAAATTGTAAAATATAAATAAACGTTTACGAAAAGTTAGGACTTATTGTAAAATTGATTCTTTTTTTGTTTATACAGGTTGTCACGACAATTGCTTCTGTTGCGGATACATGCGAAGAGCAATTTGTAACTTATTACGACAGGCTAATGCCTTGTTTAAAATATATTATTCAAAATGCGACTCAGCAGGAACACAAAATATTACGAGGCAAGACTATCGAATGTGTCAGTCTTATAGGCCTAGCTGTTGGCCCAGAAAAGGTGATTAAATTTTCTGATACCTTGAAGTTTTCTGAATGAAAAGCTCATAATTATCAATTATATACTGTTTTAATATTGTATATATTAATATTGTTTAATCTCAACAGTTTATTGCCGATGCTAGCGATGTTATGGATATGTTACTCAAAACACATTCAGAAGGTGATCTTCCTGATGACGATCCGCAAACCAGCTATCTTATATCTGCTTGGGCCAGGATTTGTAAAATTCTTGGTAAGATATTACATAATGAAGACTTTTTATGCACTTTTGAACATTCCACGTTCTATCGTACTGCAGGAAGTTTTTATAATCACACAATTCCTTAAAAACACTTGTATTTTTTTTATAGGGAAACAATTTGAACAGTACTTACCATTAGTAATGGGACCCGTATTGCGAACAGCCGCTATGAAACCTGAAGTTGCATTACTAGACAATGAAGACATGGAAGGCATTGAGGGTGATCTTGATTGGCAGTTTGTTTCACTAGGAGAGCAACAAAACTTTGGAATCAAAACAGCTGGTTTGGAGGACAAGGCTTCTGCGTGCGAGATGTTGGTTTGTTACGCGCGGGAATTAAAGGAAGGCTTTGCGGATTATGCGGAAGAAGTGGTGCGATTAATGGTGCCGATGTTGAAGTTTTACTTCCACGACGGTGTCAGAACTGCAGCTGCGGCAAGTTTGCCGTATCTTCTCGACTGTGCTAAAATAAAAGGTTATTAGATAATTTAATATTTTTATTGAAGAACCACATAACTTTTCTATCGTCAACTGTCTTATCGCACATATCAATGTTTACAGGTCCACAGTATCTAGAAGGCATGTGGGCATATATTTGCCCAGATCTTTTGAAAGCTATCGATACAGAACCAGAATCGGAAGTGTTGTTGGAATTATTGTCCTCTTTAGCAAAATGTATCGAGACATTGGGCGCAGGTTGCTTAAGTGCACCGCATATGACTGAACTTTTACGACTTTTAGATAAGTTACTTAAAGAACATTTTGAAAGAGCAGTTGCTAGATTGGAGAAACGAAAAGATGAAGATTATGATGAGGTAATAATTTGTGATGAGGTAATAATCTATGTATAGTAAGCTATAAAGTCTGTTGTCTAGAAAACTTGACAGAAATTTTTTAAATAATTAAATGAATGTTATAAAAATATATTTATCTGTATTAACTATATTTATTGGTTTAGGTTGTTGAAGAACAACTTGCTGATGAAGACAATGAGGACGTATACACGCTCAGCAAAATTGCTGACATTTTGCATGCCTTATTTACAACTCACAAGTCTTCATTCTTCCCATACTTTGATCAAATATGCGTACATTTCGTAAAATTACTGAGTCCCGAAAGATCGTGGGCGGATCACCAATGGGCTTTATGCGTCTTTGACGACGTTATAGAATTCGGAGGACCTGACTGCGCAAAATATCAAGATCTCTTTTTGCGACCCATGATTCAATACGTTTCTGACAAGTCCGCAGAAGTTAGGCAGGCAGCAGCTTATGGCTGCGGAGTTTTAGGCCAATTTGGTGGAGAAGGCTTTGCGCAAGCGTGTGCAGAAGCTTTACCAAAACTGATGGAAGTTATTAGCGATCCCGAATCTAGGTCGCCAGAGAATGTAAACCCCACTGAAAATGCTATTTCAGCAGTGACTAAAATTCTCAAATACAATAACAAAGCAATCAACGTCGATGAGATTCTTCCACACTGGTAAATTGATATTTTAAGAAATTGTTATTTTTAATAAATATAAATTCATAAACTTTACTCTAAACGCTTCTTTACAGGCTAACTTGGCTGCCAGTTGTCGAAGATGAAGACGAAGCCCCTCACGTATACGGATATCTATGCGATTTGATCGAAGCAAATCACGCAGTAGTTTTAGGAACGAATAATGCGCATTTGCCGCGACTTATAAGTTTCTTTGCCGAAGCGTTGTTCAGAGAAGCCGTGCCTACCGACCATCCCGTTATGTCTAGAATCATTAGTATCGTTAGAGAAATACAGGTGTGTGGGAAAAAAAGTCTATACTTATCGTTGCAAGCTTTCGGATAATATAATAAATATACATAATAAATGACAAATGATTTTATTTCTTTCCAGAAAAACGACACGATATTCCAGGCGATCATTATGCAGTTAACAACAGATCAACAACAAGCGCTTCATGAGGCACTCAGTGCACTAAGTTGAATTTTTAACATCGTAACAAATGAAATTATTGCTCGTGTTAAATAATCTCCCGAAAAAAAAAAAAATCGTAATTAAAATCGCAAATATTGTATATAGGTATATTGTACCTATAAAACATTTGCTCCAGCCTAGTTATATATACACACGCAGATATATTTAAGCATTCTACATATTATTATCCACATACTTGTTAAGTATGTATTTCTGTATCATTATCAGATTTGATTAGTTTTCTATTATCAGGGATTGTTGAATAATTGAAGTAAAATTAGGGTTTGTCACTGTTCGATTTATAATGCTTCTACGAATGAAGCTAAGTCGACAGAAATTTTATCGATTATGAATGAACTCACATTGGCAGAATTTAAAACTGTATATCCCTAATTAATATTTTAAATCCAATATTTTATATGTATATATATATACTTGTTGTATATATACCTCTTTTCTTTCTACATTACATTGGTGAACATTTATTAAAAAAGTTTATGAATAATGACATCGACTTAAATCAGACATTCAAACGAGAACATTCTCCTGCCATTGAGAGTCGAACGATGCTAAATCATCTTTTAAAAAAATGGCTTTGTAAAAATTGCATAGTACATACATATAGCTTTGTTATGCGAGTATAACGTTAAGGAATTATGATTTTGTCACTGTGATCTTTCTAAATTGCGTCAACATTCTCAAGCTATCCCACGTTCCGGTAAGGTAACAAAGCTGATAATGCAAGATAGACTGGAAAGCCTCATTGTAGCCATGAAGTGAACGCGTGACATTGTGATTTAGGTATTTTTATTATTAAATTTAGATACATGTTATTTAATGATGCAATTTAATGTTGCAATGTTGAGCTCTATATACGAATGCCTTTTGAATGAAACGTAATGAAGAGTTTTAAAAATTTTAGATTCGAGATCAGTAAGATGTGACTCCGCGACTATAACGAATAAATTTTTTTCTTATTTAGATAGAGATACATTAAAAATTTATGTTTTCAAGTGCTGCAAATTTTTCTTGTAATCTTACAGCTAATTCGTATTGAGTTATGCTTACTACAACATTATTCTTATCGTAAAACCAAAATGTGTTACTCGAGAATAAAAAGAAGAAATATGAAAGATATGCCAAAAAAAAAAGCGATTTGATAATACGGAATGCATTACGTTTCCTTCGGCTGATGTAACACGATGAGAATTGAGATGTTGAAAAGGACTGAGCGAAATAATCCATTTAAACGGCTCCCGCCTCCGTTCTTGTTGCTATTTATTTATAAAATATGTACTCCGATTACTTGCGACTGTCTCGAAATTTCACCGATGGAAAAAGTTTTACCTCTAGTACACCATCGCGGCTACTCTTACCGTAAATGTTCCAAGTAAATAACAACCTTTTTTTACTAAGACGTGTAGAGGAGTAAAAGTAAAGAATAAACATTTATTTGTACATACGTCAAAGTATATAAAAATATCGCGAACACGTATAGAGTTGAAGTATCCGATTGTTAAGTATCCATGATATACGGTAGGCACTGCCTCGTTATTTCACCGAAAGTCAACACGATCTTGTAAGATGCACATAATTGCAGCAAATACATACGGAAGAATCGATACTGGACTGTTTATGACGTTTATGCGATACACATTTGCGACAGAGAAAGAGAAAGAGAGAGAGAGAGTAAAAATCAATGTGAAAAGAAAGGAAAAATTATAATTCTTATATAGAAATTATTTTAAAATCATTACTAGCTAAAATAAATCTCAGCTTTGTAATCGTTTGTTTTGCTTCACCTACATTCATATACATCTTAATTTTAATAAATTTAATTTAATGGCCAGTATGTATATTTTGTGCAAAACTTTGCGTTAAATAGAACGTATAATATACATCGTACATTGTAGAATTTTTGCAAAAGTTAAGTCGTCTTAAATAATCAATAAGAGTTAACTGCTCATCGTCGTTTGACGTTTATCTCGCCCAGTATAATTATCTTCGAGTAAAATTTATTGCAAGGCTATACGATAACTATCCTATAGGCGTTTCCATGACGTGTAAAAGCCGATAAGAGAGGCAAAAGAAATGCGTATTAATTATCGGCATGCAATTCAAACGTACCGTCGAAGTTGGAATAGTTAAAAATATCATGCATATCATTCGTATCAATTTACGGAGTGTCGCTTTATCGATCACACTGTCGCGAACGATAAAATATTTTCGTAGATGGTTGACGAGCGTGGCGCGTATGATTTCCCAAGGCATTAACACTTGCATCGTATGTCACAACATAACGGGATATTGCAAATGCATTTATTTATAGCACTCGCATTTTGCCGTTTCATTTTACATGAGTAATTCATATTTCAATATCAATATATTGGGAGGGTGAGACAGGTCAACGTGAACGGACAGCTCAGTCCTGATATCGAACTTTTTATACGGCCGATTAACATATGCATCTATAATTAGCTAGTGAAAACAGGGAAAAGATTAAGCTGTCGTCAATCAAAATAAAATGGAAATCAAATTTCGAATGTATCTGAGACTCTTCATTTCTTTTTATTTTATTTCATTTTGTTTTAAAGACGACCGGAAAATGCGGTTAACGGAAAATCGATACGCTGCCTTTTTCTTCACTCGTACGCGTGAAGTGATGAAATTTACGGTGCATTATGCGCCCGCAATTTTGCGAGGTAAGCGGCCGGTGATCCGCCGTAAAATGAAAACGCACACATGTTTTAAAGTAACGGAGGAAACCTGATTTGAGAGTAATTCGCGTAACGGTAAATACTTTGCATCTCGCGCTTATATACGCTTATACAGCAAACTGTCTTAAATATTTTTCGCGCTCATGCTCGAATATTGTTTTTATGAATCTTTTCTTCGCAAATTGAGCTGAGAATTAAAAGAGAATAGGCGAAACGCTGAAGCACAACGACTGGCGTTCCGATACGGAAGGCTGCATCTCCAGTCGTGGCCGTTGATCTCCGATTCAAGTTTGCTCCTCGCGGCTGAAATTCTATGCCTCTCATTTTCCTTTCTTTCCTCTGTAATTATGTAATTATATACTTCATTTCAAATGCAGAAAGTACAACAGCGCCAGCTATTAAAACAGACTTACGACCGTCACGTTCGCACTCATTATGTGTATCAGGTGACCTTAAATGAATAATACGGTACTTGCACGATAAAAAATTGTGACAACCTTACTTTTTTAAACAGTTTTTTTTTTTAAATTTCCCTTGAAACCAAAAACCCAATTTATCTGGAACCTTAAATTGCACGGTTTTCAATAACACAGAACTAATTAATCGCATTATTCGAGGGTTGCCTGTATAATTATTATTAATAAACTGAATACGATGATCCACACACACACATACAAAATAAAATAAAAATATGATTTTGTGCATATACACACAATCAGATTTATTTTACACAATATAAAACATGAGTATATCTATCGCATTTATATTTTAAATTTGATAACGTAAACCGAGAGATCTCATTTCGGATTCACCGATTTACATCGCGAGCGGTGGTCTCTCGAACGGAAAAATTCCGAGAATGCTTCGCGTCCGCTCTTTTTTTTTTTTGTCTCCGCTTTTTGCGGGGCCGTATTCCACATACATACGTACGCACATCCGCGCGCGCGTGGACGTATGTATACGTGCAGGCCGGCATGCGGAACGCGGCCGGGCGCGCACATGACGCCGGCGATCATCCGATATTACGTCATCGTCGCCCTCTCGCCCGAGAGTCGCGGACGCGGATAGCGCCCGCTCCGCTCCGCACTATCGCCGCTCCGTGCTCCGTCGCGGCGGCCGCCGCGCTCATACGTGTCCGCGACGATAAAGCGTACGTTAAAGCGGCCAAAGCGGACGCAGTGCGCGGCGAGGTGTCGATAAAATAAAGAGCGCGAAATATCGCGGGAGGATCGTCGCGCGTATCCGGGATTATCGGACGCGTGCGCGTGCGCCCGAGCGATAAGCCTCTCTCTAATCGCGCGACTATAGAATCGCGGAAATCTTTCTCCCTTCCCCGGTGGGGCTATAGACGGAGGCTCGGTTGCGTGATATCGCGCGTCGACGCTCCCACGCTCTCCCCGTCGTCGCGACGCCCGGCAAATTTCGAAGGCCGCCGGACCCGGACGAATGCGCGCGGCCGTCACGGAGTGACCCACGGTAAGGCATTCTGACATTGTCGCGCTTATCTTCGAGATTTCAAGATAAATAAATAATGCGACGCGCGATGAGGGCGTCGGAGAATCCCGGTGATGCGCGGGACTCCCACGACGCGGTATACGTGTGGTGCCGTCGTACTTCCGGCGACCCGGCGACGTGTCACGCGCGCGTCCGAGGGTGGACGTACGCCCGTGATCGATGCAACGCGACGTGGGAGCCGAGAGCGGGTTCCTTCGTGACCCGTTCGTGACTCACGGGGCAACATTGTCACGTGTATGCCGATGACAGTTCTGTTCCTTGTAGCTGCGCCGCGTTATGCCTATTTCCTGCGCTTGAAATGTGAAACAATTAGGATACAGTTGGACGTTGGATCCCAGCGCGCACCGAGGGACATGCAACTCAGGCTGCGGTCCACTTGATGCTACAAATGCTTCGAAGCATTCTTTTTCTCCTTTCTTTCAATGAAGAAAGAAGGAGAAGAAGAACGCTTCAAAGCATTTATAGCGTCAAGTGGACCGCAGCCTCAGACAGCACAATATCCAAAATCGTAACAGGACGTCTTTATCTTTAAGACATTGTGCCGTCTGGGATCATACACGCTAGGTATGATTTCCTACTCAGCAATGTAAATAATGCATTATAAAATACAGGTATTTACATTGTTGATTAGGAAATTATAACTGGCATGTTAATTGCATGTTAATTTGGTGTTTACTGAAATGAGGAAAGGAGGAGAGAAATGAGCGGAGCGAAACGTTCGGCTGCACTGACGTTTCACCACGCAGACGCCGGGAGCTGCCGGGAGCGGTTTTGTTTGCGAAACGTTTGAAATTGACTTCTGTTGACTTTCTTTGTTCGCTGAACGGGGCGCGTCCGGTATTAATTAGCGCGGGGCTAATTCAGCGAAATGTCGATGGAATGTAACGGTACGTGTCGTAAACGAAAGAATGTAGAGAGAAAGCGGAAGGAAGATCGCCGGCGACAAGCGCGGCGATCGCGAATATATACGGCGAAACAAATTATGCGCACAATGCGCGCAAAATCACGCGTTGCGCGGAGGAGCTCGCATATAATATATATGTGCATGGCAAATAAGTTTTGAAAAAACTTTCGGCTTTGCGTTTTCTTTCTTTTGCCGAGCGAATGAGATCGCGTTCTGCGAATCCTGCGCGAAAGAGATTAGGTGGATTCTGTTCCCGGAAAAGGAATTGTTATACTAATGTCCATTTCTATCAATAAGGATTGACTTTATCTCGATTTGACTTGCTTTTTATCTTTTTCTAATTCTTAAAATTAGAAAAGGATAAAAAGTAAGTTAAACCGAGATATAAAGTTAATCGGCATTGGTAGAAACGGACATAAAATCTCATGATTGCTAAATAGATGTTGATTCAGAACGCGACGCGAACCTTTTCGCTCGGTAAATCTCTTGCGCTTTAGGCGGTTGTGCTATTTTTATTATCACAACTGAAAAATATCGTCCATCGTATTAATAAAATTTGAAGAAATTAGAACATTAGAATTGAACTAAACTAAATTAAATTTTAATTCAATCTCAATTTAAATTTAATGTATATTATTAAATTCAATTTAGTTTAGTTTGAAATTTAATTTTAATATAGATATCTCCGTGATGAAAGAAAGAAAGACAGATTTTATTTCACCACTTTATTTATCGGGATATTTCTTGGAAGTTTATCTCTCAGTTTATCTCTCTCTAGAAGCTATATATATCTAATAACATAACACAAAGCTGGCGCCAGACTTATAATCTCATACATCGGTTAACTATTATATAAGTCAATGCAATTAACAAAATAGCGAATCTCGAATTGTGCATTGTCTACCGCAAGAATCCCCAACTTACGGCTTTCGAAATTTTATCCAACCCACCAAGAAATTTCGACGTTATGCAATATATACGTATCTGTGCCTTAGAGGAAAGGAATTGTATCTCCATTATTATAAATTTAGAGAAAACAAGATTTAAAGTTCATTATTTCTATATGAACATTATTTCTATTTCTAATATGACTTTTTCTAAACATTGTATCTGAAGAACTAATAATAATGGACCCTTTAACAATTATACAGTTTAAATCCTGATATGTTGAAAAACAAATAAATTCCATTTTAACAAAAACTGCAAATACAATTTTTATATAGCGTTTTCTACTGGGAAAATTAGTGGCACACTGACAATGAGTGCAATTTTATTGTTGCACAGTGAAAATCAGTTCACATATTTTCAATGTTTAAAATTTGACAAATATTTGTCAATAGAACAATCAAATTGCACGCAGCTAGGGTGCACCGGTGTTGCACTAGTTTTCCCAGCAGAAAAGAAGAGCGCTTTATAAACAAGTAAACAACACAGCTATACACAAATAATGTTGCTCAGTATAGCCGTTGTTATTTACACAGCGCTCCTCCCAAGTCGCAATGCCTCGCAACTCGCCACGCGCGTAGCAAAATGTTAAACGCTGAGCTGTCTCCTCGCCAAATTGCGCAAACGCACGCTGACCCGCATATCTTTACTAATTAATAATTAATTACTTGTCGCCATAATCGCAAAAGAGGACTTTTTTATTCAGTTCAACCCATGCATTCTACTCCAGTTTGAAAATTTAACTTATAACATAGACCAGCTATGCTATACTTTCTTCCCTTATAGAAATTTAATACTGTAAGTGATTTTTTGGCTAGTGATTAATCATTTAAAAGCACTATTAAAAGCACTATTAACAGCACTATTAAAAGCACTATTAACAGTGCTTTTAATAGTGTTTTTAAGTGATTAATTACTAGCCAAAAAATCACTTACAGTATTAAATTTCTATAAGGGTTATAATAAACAGTATATAAACACGCAATTTTCCCGGATTGACTCACTAATGGAATGATAATCAAAACCAAGGAAATTTTCCGTTTTGTCAATCTTCTACCAAACGGAGAACGGACTACGGAGCTAACGCTCCGTTCACGAGTTCAGATCCACCAATCGTCAAGCGCGGCGACGCGGCGTGCCCTGCTCGTTGAACGTGCGATTGGTCAGTTACTTTTTTCTTCGCGCACATGTTTCACGCGATACAAAATACGAATACCCGTTTCAGCGACTCCAAACAACGACGCGCGTCAACTTTCGTCATTCGTCCCGCGTAAGCCGTTAGTCTCTAGACCTATAGGGCTCCCGAAAGAGGTTGCACTCTTCCCGCACCCGAAACGAGACGGATGTACGGGCGAGAGCGACGGGCGAGAGAAGGAGGGAAGATGAGTAGGTGCGAGGGGCGCAGCTACGCAAGGAATCAGACCATTCAGCAGACCTATCGCGGCGAGCGTCTGCTGGGTCAGCTGTCGAGGCGACTCGCGCACGAACAACGAACACGTTGCGGACGCTTCCACCGAAGTTGCGTTTGCGTCGCGAGTTCCGTCGCGCAGTAGTCCGTACTCCGTTATAATCGTTCGATCGCGACCGCGCTCATCCGGGCGCCGAGGAGAATCGCCGACGTGGAAGCGTCTTTCCAACCTTTCTTTTCCATAGCCGAACGGGGTCTACGCGAAAAGGGTCCACCGCCGACGCGTAAGTGCCCAGCACGAGCGACGCACCACCCAAGGACCGACCCTTCTTGCCCTTCTTCCTCTCTGAGACGATCGCGTCGCGCTCCGAATGATGTTTCCTTCTGCAACGGGACGCGCGTGCGGCCGACGGCGACGGGCCGAGCGTGCGTGGCATGCCGCTCGCAGGCGCGGCACCGCCGTGACGTCAACCGGCGAATCGCGGATTCCGAGAGCCGCGTTCCCCCGAGGCCCACGTCCGCCGACGCGAGGATGCCGCGCCGATTACGCGCTCGCTATCGCGTCCGCGATAGCGTGATTACCCTTGGAATTTTTCTTCTATCTTAAACCCTGGTCCCTGGAGTCGATCTCGACCTCCAGCGAGGACGTTCCGCTCGTCGCGGAACCGTCGCGATTGTTCGATTCGAGAAGCTTTCTTTTCCTCCTTGCATTTGTGTATCGGTAGTTCGATAGATCCCGCATCCCGCGTCGCGGAATCCCGTAAATTTGCCAGTGGGCAATCGGAGTAACCAAGTGCTTGTTCGTTTGCAGTTAAATCGAGGCTGCATGGCAACACCATTGCAAACGTAAGAAAATGTCCAGGAAGCGCACCAGGGAGGAAACTATGCTGACTACTGCGTCCCATCAGAACAGCGTTAATGGAGAAAAAGCGTCCTGCTCCAGGGAAGACTCTCCGGTTCACCCTGTAAGCATTCCGTTTGTTTCTTTATGAAGAACTTCCTCAACTGCTGCACACATTGGTGCGATAAATAATAAATTAGAATTAGAGCGAAACGAAATATACTTGTCCAACTCCAATTTATTGCATTAACGTGCATCAGTTCGGGAAGGTCTTCGAAAAAGAACAAATATCAAATATCATTGATAGGGAATCTCGGTGCAAACAAATAAACGCAAAAGTCGGCGCTATCGGTTCGGCGTGGAAACGTAGGCACGTGGCAAGGCATTTTACGCAAGACTCACGTATTTCCCAAGAGATCTATTTTCGCTACTTATGAATGTAACACAAATGACCTTTTCAACATGCACACATGTATATTTATGTCGTGCATACATTAACGTACACGTATGTACATATTTATCTCATTTGATTATTCAGTTTTGTTAAGACTACAACGTTAAAAAATATGTAACTTGCAATACACGTGTTACGTTTATAAACTCTGGGTATGTTGGGTCTACTGTTATTAAATACAATACTGAGGAGGGGCTAATCTGTAACGTGGAAAGTGTTGTCTACAGATAATACGTAATATTGCTTTTTAACTGATAATAAGTCTGGCGTGATTCCAGATTGGCATATCCAATAGTGATAAAAGCTGAGGAAATGCTTTATTGCCTGCTAGTCTTGCCCAGTAACTTTCTATTGAAGCATACCCTGGCATATATTGAATTTAAGCATATTGAGTACAATCCGACTTTTTATTTATATATATATGCGGTAGTTATGTAATATCTGAAAGTGGTTAAATGCGGTCTGCAGGGTCTTTATTTTTAAATTATCAAGTGCTTTTAATATAAAATACTAATTACAATATTTGAGCTAGAAAAATAAAAATCACATCTCTATTATAAATATATATAACTGAATTGTATTAAAAGAACAATGACTTGGGGATCCCAACAGAATTACAACGAAAGTAGCAGTGCGGGTTTAACGTTTTTGAAGGATTGTAATGGTCAAGTTTCTGTTTGTCAGGAAAGATCTCTAGTAAGTTTTTACCTTTTTTTAGTATACTTGCTTTATTTCTTTCTTTATTTCGTATAATGTATTCAAAAGATAAGAGTAATGTTATTTATTATATAACATGACAAATTGAAGAAATAATGATAAGTATAGTGTAATCCTAAAATAAAAATTTAAATTGTGTCACGTTAATTATATGTCCTGACTATATAAATTTAAGAACGTGAAAAAGAATTTTTTTTTAACATTACATATACGTGATTACTTGCATACTTTAAATATCAACAGTCTAATTTTTTTTTTTATATGGATTATTATTTATCATCTCATTAATGTATTCTCTTGTTATTTATTCTAGTCAATCTGTAAAGAAGCACCTTTCAGCGATGATCCAGATGCTATCGCGGAGAGAAATGCATGCGATTATAACACGCGAATTACTTTAAAACAAGCAAGAAGTGGTAAAGGTACGTTTTAACGTGATCCTTATTAAAAATATTAAATATTATTTTATTTTCCTATTTCTATATATCACTTAAATAATCCTTTTTTAGTTCCTAGGAAAATTAGAGTTTATGCCGATGGTATTTATGATCTCTTTCACCAAGGACATGCACGGCAACTTTTACAAGCAAAGAATATTTTTCCAAATGTTTATCTTATTGTTGGAGGTAATTATGCAAAATTGCTTAAGAAAACTTTGTTATTTAATGCTTATATCTTAAATGTTTCTTGTAATCATAAAATATTTATTTTACATCGACTATTCTACTATTAAAATAAAATATAAATATACTTATAGTATGTCAACTCCATAATTTTATTTTACAGTCTGTAACGATGATTTGACACATAGCAAAAAAGGAAGGACTGTAATGACAGACCTAGAAAGATACGATGCTGTTAAACATTGTAGATACGTAGATGAAGTTGTTCGAGATGCACCTTGGGAGCTTGATGATGAATTTATAAAAAAGCACAAGGTACGTTCATATTTGTATGCCTTTAAATTTGTGTAATAAAATGCGCATTTTATTTTATATAGAAATTACATGAACTATGTTTACAGATTGACTTTGTTGCTCATGATGATATACCATACATGACGGATGATGGAGAGGACGTTTATGCTATATTGAAAGCTAAAGGCATGTTTGTAGCCACACAGAGAACGGAAGGTGTTTCCACGTCGGATATAGTTGCGAGGATAGTAAAAGATTATGACATATACGTCAGAAGAAATCTCGCACGAGGCTACAGCGCAAAGGAACTTAATGTGTCTTTTCTCAATGTAAGTGATTATCAATTATTATGTAATATTTGTTTGTCACATTTACATTGTTACAAACATTATTAAAAAGAAAATACTACTTTGTAATTATATTGGAAGAATGATACAAGATAGTAGATGTAAAAAATAGTTATAACAAATACGCTCATGAGACGAATCTTACAGGAGAAAAAATTTCGCCTACAAAACAAGTTTGATGACCTAAAAGATAAGGGGAAACGAGTAATGGAAAATATTGGCGAGAAACGAATGGATATGATAAGCAAATGGGAAGAGAAATCTCGAGATTTTATCGATGCTTTCCTCTTGCTGTTCGGAAGAGAAGGCAGATTGGTATGTATACGTTCATATGTACATGTGCGTACATATGGGCACTTTCAATATGCTTTTAAATATGCTCTAACTAGAAAAAGTGAATTGTATGAAGATATATTGGTTTCCACAGACCTGAAAAACTAGGAAAACCGAGAAAAATCAGGGAAATATATAAAGGAGCCTAGAATTTTGAATTTTGCTCACAATTTCCATAAATGTTCTTATTCTAAAAAGTACTTATACTTTTTTAAGTTTTTTAAATATCATATATCTAACATTTATGGTCAAATGTATTTAAAACTTGTGCACTTTACAAGTCCTTTCTACGTATTATTACAAGGAAGCACTTTTGAGGCGCTCTTGCGTCCATTTTTCGTTTCGTTTTCCCTGTTTTCCTCTCTTGCAATATTAACCAAAATAATTAAAATATATATTCAGTATTTTTATTCAGAATTATTTATTTCATTTAATCGCCCTTTTCTCTCTGAACTGCATTCTTTTTATTAATACTTATTTATTTTATGTTGGCCTGAATTTGCATTCAGGTTTATATTGTGTTAACCAAACTTCCAAATTTATGTTGCTTTTAATAATATAAACTCTCTTGTAATCATTGCTCGTAAATGTTAAAATTTAAAGCTCCTGGTACTCGCCACTCTTTATTTGATGACGTCAGAAGCGAGAAACGCTGAGAATTCTTGCGTGCAATTCCCAAATAAAAAGATACGCAAGCATAAGATACCACTTCAGCACACTTTGAAAATACTCCGAGGTCTATCCCTTTCCCTTGACAGTTAATAAACAGCTGTACATTCTCAACGTTTCTTGCTTCTAATCTCATTAAACAAGGATAGAAGTAGTTCAGGAATCTTAAGATTATTAGTCACGGGGAAAATTTTCCATTATCGTCTGCAAAACGTAAATTAAATAAAAGTTAGAGAATTTCAAAATTTATTTTCTGTAGATTTTGGATTGGAATTTTTTTATTTATATTTGCAGTCAACAATTTGGAATGAGAGTAAAGGTCGTTTAATGCAAGCGTTATCACCACCGGCAAGTCCGAAAAGGGATAGCAGCCCAAGCAGTAGTAACAGCAGCCACAACGATGAAGACCAGACAAGGTACGGTTTTTGAATATACTCTCTCTATGAAACATCTCTCATGCGTATCTGAGTATGTATGTATAACTACGTATGAAATTATTTTATGTATTTCATCTTGCAGTCCACCACCAAAGAAAACGGGACGCTTTGAGTTTTCACAAAATAATCATTATTTAAGTGATGATTATAGTGATGATGAAGAAGAACATCTACACTCCAAATGATAACTAATTACATTAAAAAGGCATATATACTCTCTGACCAAAACAAACGTGCAATTTTTATTTATTACCTTAAAAGTTTAGATGTATTTTCATACAACTACATGAACTGCTGATGCTATGCTTTACGGATTTTGTATATTATGGTATTTAGCTAGCAGTATACATTAAACAAAATCGCCTGTCGTGATGTGAGAGTTTAGCGTGTTTTTGCAGATTTTATTAAATAGATCGTAAAAAGGATAATAGAGGTGATACATGTAGATTATCTGAGCCATGTACTACTCAATGTTTTTTTAACGTTATTGTTTTTGAGATACTGTTACACCGTATTTTAGTTCCTATGTTACTTAATGATGTATTCATTATTTATCTTTAATTTGATACTTTCTCATAGTTAAAAATTGAAGATAAACATATGTATCCATAATTTCGAGAGCACGAAATATTCACTAAAATTGTATTTAATGTAAGATAATAATATGTACTATTATTTTATGATTAATTTTGTACAGAAATGTTTTTATAAAACAATGTTAGTTAATTGCATAAATAATTTATCTTTTATCTTTGGATATGCAAATTCAATTATAATCTGATTCAAACAAGTGCAGTTAATATTACGAGTTAAATTTTACTTTAACCACGTAACTTGGATATTTTGTGTAAATACCAAGACGTACAAAACAGATACTTTTAGGCTCATACAATGGAAAATTTTGTTGTATTTTGTATTGCAAATAAATGAATATTTGGAAAATCAGGCATTTAGATTATTTAGAATATTGTAATACATATATTCTGAATATCATATGTTCCTGATACTCCCGATTATATTCTCTTCAGACTTAATATTCATGAATTAAAATTCTGAATTCTCGAAATTGTCCTTAGAGTTTTAAATAATGCACCTAATAAAAATTCTGAATTCTCGAAATTGTTCTTCTTAGAATTTTAAATAATGCATCTTGTTTGCTTAGAATAAGTTAGATACAAATTATTTATATTTATGCGCAATGGAATCTATTGTAAAAGAGCTATTAAGAGGTAAAAGAGCTATTAAGAATTAACGTAGAATCGGAGAATTTTTAAGTGCCTGGCTAGATAAAAATATTTTTAAAAGATGGGTTAGCTCCTCATCCTGTAGAAAATAAAGCTATATTGGCATTCTTAATATTTCTGCCAAATAAAATATTTTATTTTGAATCATGTGTTTTATTTAAAATTATTTCAGCATTCTTTCCTCTTTCAGTGTACCTTTAATTTTATTATTAAATACAGATTATTAAACTTCCTATATTTATATGTATGTGATTATGTATACATATATCTATACATAAATATTTTTCATTATTTTCTTAAATTTAAAATTTTTTATGTATGTACGATCAACGGTGCATCCTTTTTTCGTATTGTGTTTCATTCACTTTATTGTATTCGCCGCGCATGCTCGAAAAACCGGACGCGATTCGCAACACTGGTCGCGAATACCTAGATCGCGCACGTTTTGAGCATATGAAATAATGGACGCGTTCAGCAGGGCTGCGTTCGAGAACCACGCTCTTCGGAAAACTTCACACCTTGGCAGAATAGCAGAAAGCAGGAAAGCCAGAAGACAATCAGAATTCGCGCTGGTAAGCAGAAGGGACCGTCCCGTCGTTTGACCACAGTGATTGATCACAGCCACTCACAGCCCCCGATGCCTGGAGTTTTCCCCTGAACCAACCAATCAGATATTTTTATTTCAAATCAATTGACGACGTAGGCTACGGTCAACGTGACGCTACAAATGCTTCGAAGCATTCCTCTTCTCTTTTCTTTTAATGAAGAAAGAAGAAGAAGAAGAAGAAGAACGCTCCAAAGCATTTGTAGCGTCACGTTGACCGCAGCCGTAGTCAATTGAGTCCCGCCAGAGAGAAAACCTCTCTGTACATATACTTACATACATAAAACTCCCTAGCTTTCACGGTCGAAGGTGAAAATTTAGCCACTGTTTGAGACATAAATTAGAGTTCTTCAAAAGAGTTTGAATTTTATACATGTAAATTATTGAAATAAATATATTTTTTATTAATAAATTGACTCCAACATTTTTGAAAAACGTTTCATAATTGGCCCGCAAATGACGAATTGGTATTCAAATTCTGACTTTAGGAACTCTATCCTAACTTCGTTCTCCGTTTTTACATTCCCTCCTTTTCTCTCCGACAACCAATCGCCTATTTTGCTTTAAAATGCAGAAAGCAAAGGGATGATTCAAAATGCAATTATATCATTATTATCACAAAGAACCCAGACCCTACTCGCGCCGAGACATCGAGTCTCGCCGTTAGCCGGGGAGGAGGGAACTCAGGAAATCGAGGAAACGGAAGACTGCGCGCAGGCGCGAGTGGAGTAGCGCGCGCGCGAGAAAGAGACGACGCGAGTTTCGGCAAGATCTCAACGAAAACGGCCACGGTGGTGGGGTTGGGAACAACACACACGGGACGTACGCGGTACGCGCGGTGCGGCGGAGGGAAGAAGGACGAGGCCACACAAATCGTGCGGCGGTTCGTGCCTTGCCCAGCGCTGTTGGTCGATGTCGTCGACGCCGCCTGGGTTGCGCCTGTGCGATTTTCGGGAAAGGCGAAAATCCCGTTTTCCGGACTCGGGGGATACGTGAGCGCGAGCAGCCGTGAAGCGTCGGGAGTGCGAAAGTGCGCGGTTCGGCGCGAGTGAGGTTCATGTTGAACACGAGGGTGGTACGGTGGACTCGGCGGCGGCTCGTCGCCTGCGCGACGGCGCTTTAAATGATCAACGACCGGGACCGGGACGAGTGTCGTAGCACGTCGGAGACGGGAGGACACGCTCGGCAAGATCTGCGCGTATACACGGGAGGAGTGAGACTCGGGCCGATGTTGTAACGTTTTTTTTTCCTTTTCGCGGAGGGGCCAAGATGGAAGAGCGTAGCGTCCACGGCAGTATCGGCGATATAAATAGTGCGGAGGCGACCAAAAGTAAGCAGCGCGGATCTGTCAATCTTAAATCGTCCGCGGCGCTCCGTCAAAGCGGAGAAAGAGAGAGAGAGGACGGTGACGTCGTTTTCGCCGCCGAGATTTCGGGGCCCGCTCTTCTCACCCGTCGCTCATCCGTCCTGCGAGCATCTCCACGCGATTTAAAAAATCCTCGACTTCGCGTCGGCGACGATCTCTCGGCATTCCGAGAGCGGAGAGAACCCCGGCTCACGGGGTAACCTCGTGAAAGCGGAAGAAGCCCGGCTTGTATACACGCTTGTCCAACGGACCGATCCGTGTCGCGTTCTCTTCGCTTTCGAACTTTGCGAAATTCATTCTCGGTTCGCCTCGCCAGGTAGCCAAGCGCAATGTCACGGTACCCTTCGAGCTTTCTGGAATGAGCCGAACAGGCAAACGGGCATTGTTTTTCTCCGAAAAAAGAAGAGGACGACGCGGGAGGGGGAGAGAAAGAAAGAGTCTTTTGTAACCCTTGTCCGTTGGAGTCTTGAAAAAATAAATTACATTTCAGAGGAGTGTCCTCAGGCCTCGGGATACTCCTCGGGAATTACAATGCTGTTTCTCTCGCAATAATTCGTGACCGTCCTCCGTCCCCCGTTTTCTGCCTCTGGTTATCTCCCTCTCTCGGGCCTCTGTTTCTATCTCTCTCTCTTTCTCTCTCTCTCTCGCGCGTATCCGTCCCTCTCTTTCTGTCCTTCGGGCTTTTCGCGAGTTTAATTATCTTACGCCGAGCACGTGAATGGTGCGTACGCGCACAGATGTATACGTTAACACGTATATACGCGACTTCCCGTTGCCTATGATACGAGATAGTGCCTGTGTACTTTGTATAACAGTGTTTAAATTTTACAGGAGAACGGCTCTGACACGACTAAAAATAGCGTTTTCTAACAAATCTTTCTGCTGTATAGCCTGTCGAAATTTACGGCCGGTATTCGTAGTGATTTATCGGCGAACGAAAATATGCGGGCCCACGTGTGTGAATAAAAAATTCCTAATCACCGAGAAATAAACTAATTATCGCCCTTACTCGCTTCTCGATCAAATAGCGTTGTTTTGCAATTATTATTACCGTACTTAAATAGTATTCGTAAAATAATATATTATTTTTGCATATTTTTAAATGTTAAGCTATAGAATGAAATGTTTAAAACGTATTTCTTGGCCTGTTGGAAGTTCTCTTTAACAAACTTAATACCTCTGACAATTTAATCAATGTACGATCATCGTAAGCCACGCGAATGATAAAAAGTTTGATAACGAGGCAATTTATTTGTTTATCAGCTTTAATAATACCACGTAAGAAGAGGATATGCTTGGTTGGTGCAACCTGCAATGATCCTGCGCTTAATGCTGCTGCTCAGCAATTCAAAGTGCCTGTACTTAAGTCTGAAACCGGCACGGAACATGTTGAGGACACTACTTACAATACTTATTTCATACTCAAACAATTTGAAGGGTCCGAATATGATGCTTTATGCAAGAGTGCTCATAGGTTTGTACATAATGGTGCATTATACTTTTAATAATGTGTAAAACACGGTTATTTATACGCGAACTTGCGTTGTGTAATATTTATTTAATAATTTAATACAATGTTGGAATTTTTCTGATTTTTTTCTCTCGAAATTTGCATTGGCTTTGTCACATTCAATTTTTAAATACTCATGTTATACTTTTCGGAGAGCTTGAGAAGATTTAATTTATTTATCACCGGAACGCTGAAGATGACAAAGTAGATCCGAAACGTATGATTTATAGTTTGTATTAAATCGCGTTTTACTATCATAGCCCAATTTTTCGTTTTACTCATTAGTTTTAATATCGAGAATAAATAAAACGGTTGTGCATATAATTTTGATATAGAAAAAAAAGTTGCAGAGGTTATTCGCGTGACTTACGTTTTTCTTTTAGAGTACTGGGACCTACAGCTTTGCTACAACTGGCAGAGAAGAAAGAACCTCTGCCCAGTATTAAAAGACCAATGTACACGCAAGCTATGGTAGGCACAATTGTGGTGTTTAGCGGCTTTCGGTCTAGAGAGGATGAACTGGTCAGTCCATTATTTATGATTTTTGTGATATACTATTGATTTACGTGTATTTCATATTTTTTTTTGTAACATAATATATTTCTCAACAGCGCAAGTTAGCTAATATGATTCTTAATATGGGAGGTAGCATCCGAAAGGAGATGGGTATTAAAGTGACGCATCTTATTGCAAATCATTGCAGCGGAGAGAAGTATAGATATGCTGACACATTTGGATTGCCTATCATGTCGATAGACTGGGTGATAGCATTGTGGAATGCTAAAGATGATATCTCCAAGTACGCGAACGACGAGAATTTGGTGAGCGTTATCATATAGGAAAGTAATTCCAAAATACGGCTTTGTTTCATGTGCGAAAAAAATTCATTGAATAAAATAATTATAACATTAGTTTGTAATATTTATAATTATTTTGTTAAGTTTAGCACGTATAATTCTGATAAATTCAAGCCGCTAACACGGCACGTCGTTTGTTGAGTACCACTGAAAATAGCAGTAAAGAGATAGAGAAAATATGCGTGTGTATGTATGTGAACAAACAATCGTAATGCAGAATCTGCGTTGCATTCTCTGTCTCTCTGTTGTTATCTCGGAGCGCTTAGCGCGATAGCGAAGCAGCGAAGTGTTCTCATTCGGGCTCTAATAATAACGTGATAATTTCCTTTTTCTTAAAAACATTTAATTCTAATTGCAGATAGCAGCTTATAAGCTGAAGCCATTTTATGGTGCAAAAATATGTTTCTCTGGTTTTCCTGACGACGAGAAGAGACATATGTGTGAGATTCTGGAGCAACAGGGTGGCGAACCCACTGAGATTGACGATCCGTGCTGCACTCATGTTGTAAGTAAACGATACAATTTTCACATTATTCATAAATTCTTTTCTATATATAAATATGTTCACACGACGTTACATCACACAGCTTATATATTACATAAATACACATGCTTTAGGTGATAGATATACCCGGTCTTTTCCACAAGAGAGCCAACGATGTGGACTTATATCTTAAAAATACATCCAATAGTCCACTTTCCTTAACGTATATTAAACCAATTTCCTCTTCTTTCTATAATCCTTATTTGAACACGATTTTTAATACAACAAAATTTGATCATAGCAATATATCTAGTTATTCCTCGAAAATCAATTCGTTAATCTCACGTACAAACGATATAGAACATAGTGACCAGTGGAACGATCTTGTTTCTATATATAATGTCAGTGTAGATTCTGCTATTAGTATGAATGATAACTGCTTTAATTTGCAAAATTCAATTATTAAATCTGAGAACTTATTCCATTCTTTCACGGAACAAAGTGATTCTGGCGTAGACACGACCAGATCATCTAGTTCTTCTGCGGTTTTTATGTCGAATAAATATTCGATTCCAACAACGTCGACAATGATAAACAAAAAGAACGTTAAATTCTGTATTTCTGAAAGCTCTTTGTTCGATAACGAAGTATCTCTTTGTGAAACTATGTTAAACTTTCCAGATAAATCAAATGATTATAAATCGTCGCCATCTTATGAAAAAAATAACGAATCTAATCTTTGTATATCACCAACGAGCAATAATGCATTATCTTTAAAATATCGTAAAAATGTTCATTACGTGCAGAATAATACATCGAAAAGTAAAATAATTCCCAAACGATATATAAAATGGAGAAAAACTAATTCCTGCACATTTGTTCATAAAATGGCGACGCTTGAAAAGTATAAGTTCACAAAGACGCTCTCGTATCCGAATATATTAAAGCGTAACGAGGAACAGTATAGCGACACATTTTTACACAAGGCATTAGATGAAAGGAATAAGCATTTGTCTAAATCTAATACATCTTTTTTCTCAAAGATCAGCCACTTTTCTTTCTGTCCAATATTTTCTGACAATAAGCAAGATACTTCCATCAGTTCATACTATTGTCCACCCGAGAAAAACCTTTTTAAAAAGAAATACACATTTTTATCCAAATCTTTCCCAGTGCCTACAAAAATTTCAAATAGTAAACACAGCTTACGAAACACTTCTATATTTGATGGCAAAAGTAACAATGTATCATCTGCATCACATGACATGAAAACTGAGTGCACAGATTTGAAGGCAGTGAAGGATAAATCATTACTCACGGTACTTTCTTTCTTTCTTTTTTTTTAATGTTACGGGGTTTGGTAATTTTTCATGTGAAGTAAAATAATTTTACGTGGCTTTAGTTATACGTAATGTTAAGGAGAAGCGGATGAGCAAAAGATGGTACTAGTATAATACATGGGTTAAACATTCATCTTGGTAACACAGACAATTTGCTCGTTTCTATGTGAACGTCCTGTATATTTATCTAGAATTTATATTTGTTTAAAAATATTAAAATATTAATGTATATGGTATATACATGATGGTGGTGGTGGTGGTGAGATGTGGTAGTCGATCATGACAGAGAGTTGTGCGCTGGTTTATGTACCAAAGATCCGGGTCAATCCAACAATAAAAACTGTTTTTATTTGATCGCCATCTTCTCGAAAGGAAGAGTTAACCACTGAGTATCTCGTCATGAATACCCCTCTATAGCCGTTCGGAATCGGCGTTAAATTGTAGGTCCTACATATCTGATCCACAGATACATGCAGAAGAGGTCACGAGATTCAAAATCGAGCAAAACGACTAAAGAGAGATTACATTAATTATATGATATTGTCTTTTGAGAATTTAGTATGTGTATCGTGCTATAGAAGTATTGTATAAAATTGTGTGTAATTATGTAATTGTCCTGTGATTCTGTTGTTTACTGTGATATAATGAAAATTATAATAGTCAGTATTATTTATCACTTTTGAAAGTATATTTCTCACTAACTCTATTCCTGGTTACACAAATATGAAATAATGGGAGATCGCATAAGAGGAAAAGTGGTAAATAACATGACTATAAATGGTTCACTATAATGAAATATAATAATGTCGATGTTTTATTATATTTGTTAACTATCAGATATTCCTGAGGTGGAAGCTGTTGATACAGAATATTTACCGATAGATAAAAAAAAAAACTTATCGTGACGTCATAAAGTTTTTCATGAATTAGTAGAGACTGAGGTCAGTTACATACATAGGCATCCTTAATAAAATCGAAATTTTTTTATTACAGGTCGTAGATGAGTCCAGCGTAAATGTTCGTCCAAATTTAGTTTCAGTGTCTGCTTTCATAGTCAAAACTGGATGGTTTTGGACATCTGTACAAAATGAGGCAGCCGCTGATGAGAAAGAGTATCTATTCGAACATGTAAGTTTATAATAATAAATTCTTTAAATATTCTAATTACTGTTTGTGTGGTATCTAAAATTGTATGTTGTTTAGTATCTAGAAAAAGTTCTGTCCCCTACTGCGACGGGTAGACGAGACAGTCAACAGCTCGTACCGCAGAATGTGACATTGGCAAAGCACCCCTGTTGGTTAGATGGTCCATTATCTAATTTATTACAAAACGGAGCGGATTCCCCAGCCACCAGTGTCAGTGGAAGCTTTCTGGACTGCACAACAAGTCCGGATAAACAGTTGCTGGACGGTATGTATCTAATGTTACTTTTTATAATTTTACACATATTTGATTTTGTATAAAATATAATATCGTAATAACATTTTAAATATATATGTCAATTAACGCTTGTAATAAAGTTAACAAAAGTACACTTTGATATTAATAAATCACAGTCTGTATTCAGTCTTTTCCTTTTCTTTAGTTCATTAAATGGAACAAATATGGCAACAAGTTCTGATATATTTTTGTATTAATTAAATTCTCGTTTTTTTTTCTTAAAAAACAAAACAAGAATGCTTAGCATAACACATATAAAAAGTTTAATGTCAGATTATTACAAAAATTAATGCTTAAAACAGTACATGCTTTTACTTGATCATTGAACTCGTAAGATGAAAGGAAAGATTGTATAAAAATTATTTATTTCTAATTCAGATTGATATTGTTACAGAACATTTGCCGATTATTACTTATGTTCAAGAAAACTTGTCGCAACGACATAAAGTTTTTCTTGAACTAGTAGAGACGGAGGGCAATTACGTCGGTATCCTCAAAACAATTATGACGGTGAGTATTTACTATGCGTTAAATGTTTCATATTTTTTAATAATTTTTAACGATTTATATACATTTTACGGTTACAGTTATTCAAATTGCCACTGGAAAATCTCATAGGCAAAAGTGGGAAAGAGTTGCTAAATAGTACAGAAGTAAAAATTATATTTAATAATTTCCCACCCATTTATGATATTCACAAACAATTGTTGGAGGCATTACATTGTAGTGCTTCTCACTGGACAGAGGATATCAGTATTGGCGAAATATTTCTAAAGTTTGAACCAGATTTAGTTAAAGCGTATTCTCCATATGTTAACTTTTTCGAGAATACAAAGCAAATGTTGAAAGAATGTGATCAAACTAAGCCAAGATTCCACGCCTTTTTAAAAAATTGCCAGACAATGCCGGAGTGCGGTAGACAAAGCTTAGAGGAGCTGTTAATTAAACCAATACAAAGGTTACCCAGTATTAGTTTATTATTAAGCGGTAAGATTAATTACTTTCAAACAATGTTAATGATTTGCTTTTGTTTGTATAAATTTTTGGACGCTAGCAAAAAAAATGCTTTTATTTCCTATACAGATATTCTTAAGCACACGGACAAAAGTAATCCAGACTATAGCGCGCTCGAAGCTTCTATTAGCTGTATTAAGAAAGCAATAACGTATATAAACGAGGACAAAAGGAAAACGGAACGGCAGGTCGCAATGTTTAAAGTCTTTGAAGAGATTGATAATTGCCCGGCGAATTTAGTTTCCTCGAATAGGTCATTTATCAGTAAATGTGATGTAATGGAAGTTACGGAAGGTCTTAGTGGACGAGGGGATCATTTAGTATTGTTTCTGTTTACCGATACTCTCGAAGTATGCAAGAAAAGATCGAAAGCTTTTAACTCGGTAAAGAGTCCTAATACTATAAATGGTTTGCAATCAAATAAATCAAATAAATTAAAATATAAGCATATCAAAATGTTGTCATTAAGTACTATCAAAAAAGTCGTCGATATACGAGAAACTGACGGTACGTAAATATTGCTACGTATATGTAAAACGCACTTTTCATAAAAATTCTAGCTAATCGTGCGATTTTTTCAGAATGTCATAAAGTATTTGCACTTGTGGTACGAAGCACTCAGGATCAGAAGGAAAAATTCTTTTCGTTTATAATTACTGACGAGGAAGTAAACAAAACGAATTATCTACAGACATTATGCAGGCAAATGGCTCTTGCTGCTCGTATAGCTGATGCTGTAAGTTATATATTATTTGTGATTTGATGCTCGCTTCATATATAAATCCTCAAACAATCAAAAACATTTTCTGTCTTTCTCGAGAACAGATTTCGTAAATTGTTTTCTGGAAATTTTGTTGGCAGAAAAGCTAGAAATTTGATGCAGAGTTTGTCATATGTAATGCTGTTGATAGAATGTTGGCAGAAATGTAGCAAAGTTTCTCACTTTACCTTTGATGAATCTTACTCGGTTTATGTCATCAATATTGCATCATGTCTTAGCTCTGCCAGCATAACATAAGCGAACTCAATGCAAATGCACTTGATGTCAATCTGCTGCAATTTCTTATATCTACTGGCAGGCTGTGACGAATAATTTTGATTTAAATGTCATACTATAATTAATGTATGTTATCCTTTTTATTTTTTGTTCATCAGGATATGTTGCTCATTAGATATGATTCGCATCAACTTGAAGTTGGTACTAGCGATGTGGCATCAGGAACATTAAAGAAAACAATTAAGTGAGTATATTTGTGGTTTGAAACTAGAATCATGCTCTTTTCTTCATTACCTTAATATTTTAAGTATATTGTAAATAAATAATAGTAAACTAATCTTCACATATTAGGATGAGTAGTAAAATATTATATATAGAAATTTTGTTTCTTACGGGATATATTTGTCAAATATTATAAAAGGTGTAAGACCTAAGAACTGACTTCTTTCTTTTGTTCTATTATTTGTAGTTAGATGATTCTATTACTAGATCACATGTCAAATGAAAGGTGTGAGAACTGACTTCTTTCTTTTGTTCTACTATTTGTAGTTAGATGATTCTATTATTAAATCACGTATTGACAGAAAGGAGTTTAATTCTATGGATATACAAGGTTGTCCGGATATTAATGGAAATTCTAAATTTTTTGTTCAACGAATATTTTGGATGAAAAGATAATGTGATGATTAAATAAAAATATTATTATTTAATTATCAATGACTAAAAATGTTGATAGTATATATGTAACTAGTACTTATTGTAATTAGAATTTTAATCTGCCATTGTATTCAGATAAAACGAATAGATTATTTGTTAAACGACAAATTTATGAGTATGTCGTTAATATTCGAACGATCTAATTATAAATGGCACTGACATATTTCTACAAGGCACAATCAAAAGATTTATATGTGCATTAGTGTCAGGGACCCGGACAGAACCGGAATCGAAACCGAAAACTGTCCCATAACCTTTTTTTTAGCTGAACTGAAACCGTAAATAGTATCAATTACTACAAAGTTTATAACACCGATCATAACCGAACCAATAAAATTATTTTAAGTTTTTTTTTCCCCGGTTTTTTTTTGCCGGTCCTTAATTTATATATTTATATATATATTTTTTTATTATTTTTATTATTTTATCTATTTACGTTGTTGCTTCAGTTTTTTTTCCCCCCCGAAGAGAAAGAATACCAATTTTTCATCGACCAAGAGAGAAAAAAAAAAAATTATTTTTCCGGAAAATGAAGAAAAAATTACTTAGGTGAGAAACTAATCGAATTCACATCATCGTCGCAATTGCGACGATTTTAACTCGTGCACACATACACAAAAGAGTTTTATTATTTGAATACTTTGGGTATTATTTTTTTCTTATTTTTTATTATAAAAACATATAAATTTTTCTACATTTATTATTATTTTATTTTGACAACAAATAATATTTCTTTATTTTTTTCTCCACACACACGCACACGCACGCACATACAATTAATGTAGAAAAAAAAATATTTTAAACCTCTTCCCCTCCACGCGAGTAACTATAACCGAAAAAGACCGTAACGGTTTCGGTTTTCTTTAGTGGTCAAGAACGAACTGAAACATCTTTTCGATCCGGGTCTCTGATTAGTGTACATATTCTACTGTATTGCATGATGTAAAGGAATAATAGAGCAACCCGTTTGGTTACAGGAGCCTATTTCATAATTTTTACCTGGAGTATATGGACCCGTATGTCTTCCTACTCAATAGCATGTGTGAAACCACGTTACATGTCCCACTACCGTCAGTTTTCGCACCAAGGCTGATTATATTTTTTTACTCGCTTTTTATTCTCAGTCCCTTACTCAGTGGCATAATTATTAAGCGCGAGAAAACGATACTTAATAGCTCGTTATATTAGTAGATTTAAAAATAATTAAAAGAATTAACTTATTTATATATAAACTAAAATATCTAAAATTTTGTGAATTAAATGAATGTTTAGATAAAAAATTAAACATTTTTAAACATTTGTAGTCTTGCAGAGATAGAATAGAAAAAAACGGCCTTTTTAATTCTTTTGGTTAAAACGCTGAAAATGTGTAATTACGCTACTGAAAATTTTTGCTTTAAGATTCTGTTTTGTGTTGTGATGAGTAGATATAATTTTAGTCAGAAATAATTCCTCAGCCAATTCAAGCATAATGTAACATAATTATAAGCTTTAATAAAAGCTTTTTATTATATTTCTTCTTTAAACAAGAATTAGGTGTTGTATATTTTTCACATATTGAAATATATATATATATATATATGTTTTTAACTTATTGGGATTTGAATTAATTAATTAATTATAATTGACATGGATAAACATTATTCTGCATTACGATTTAATTTGCAATTTGATTGCTTATTTTGCCTTGAAAACTAATATTAACAATGTTTACTGCTTGATTTTATTTCTTACTTATATGTACATAATTTTTGAGGAATAGTTTTACATAAATTGTGTGTGTCTATATGCGTAAAGAAAAATACAAGAAAATATACGTTAATGTAAATTTTTCTCTTTTTCGTATTAATTTCTTTTAATATGCAGCCATGGTGCAATTTTCATTGTCTCTAATTGCTACGTGTGTGATTGAATGAATTGAATTAAATTTTATTATATTGTCTTGAAAACTCTGCATGTATATCTTATATTTTCTTTGTATCATAGCAGATGAGAGTCTGTTGCTTGAACTAATTTTCGTAATATGACAATGTCTTTGTGGATTTATAACGCAGGTTTCTCTGTTTGTCCGCAAACTTTTTTTCCTCCGGGCGAAATAAACTTTATTATCGTATAATCAAATGTCATTTTAAATTATATGCAAAAGTTAAAATTATTAACTCGAACGGAGGAAAAAAAATTTTAATGTTTTATTTTAATAATCTCTATAAATAGATAAAAAATTTTCAAGTCATATTTTTCTCTAGGTTTGCATCTCGTACAAGAGCGAGAGTTGGTCGAGCGTTTAGTTTCAATAAAACGCCAAGCAAACTAAATAGAGCGATGTCTACAATTATGTCCCCATTTGGAGTAGCACAAAATCTTCCTCCCACAAACCAACAAATAGCTCAGATGCGGCTAGGAAGTTGCAACAACATCAGCGTTAGTTGACAATCTTTTTTATATATATTTTCTTCTGTTTATTCTTTCCTTTTTTTTCTTTTCTTTTGCTTTTCTTCTTTTGCTTTACATCTACCATGTATGTGACTAAGTAGCTGTTATTTCTTACACTAATCTTATTTTTTAATACATGTACCTTACATATATGGGACGGACTGTAAAGGAAACTAAGTTAAATTATACTTGTAATTTTTTTAAATATTTGCTTTTTGTTATATTAAATAAACTTTTGTGTTAAAATATTACTTTTTATTATAACATTTTTATATTTTTGAAATAATCATAATAATTTACGTTAAATATTTTAAATCCTTATATCAATTATACAATATTTTTATTGCAAAATATATTTTTTTCTGTTCTATTAAGAGCAATATCTTTTGTTTTTTATTTATATGTTCTGAACTTTTACTTTATTTTACATTACTACTTTTGCTTGTGCAGTTTATTTTTATTATTATATTATTTTCATGAAAAAAGAGTATATTAATAATTATAATAAACTTTCATGCCGAATTAAAGTCAATGGATGAACTATATTAAGGATTTCATGTAAGTACGTTATATTGAATTCGACTTGTTTAATTAAGAGAATTGAGGTTTTCCTTCCACAAAATTTATCACAGACTGTAGGATAATATAAAATAAAACTAAGAAACGTAATTAATAACTATATTGCAATTACATTTTATGTGGCAGGTTCTATTTTCTTTTTCTTCTCTTCATCTCATATTTATAATCCTACCTTACTAAATTATCACATTATTTTCTATACTATTTTTAATCTATCGATGCATAAATTAGTATAATTCAACATGTTATTAATTTGTTATCGACTAAAACTTCAAATATTCTTTTATTTTATTCCAAAATAAAATTTAAATGTCAAAGTTTTTATTGCTACTTTTTCAAAATAAAGAATAAATATATTAAGTCTTATTTTTTTCCAGGAGTTGGATAATGGTGGTTCGAGTTCTCCAAATAGAGAGGATGTTCTGGTAGCGCCGATGTCGGATCAGCCGACTCGAAAAGCCCTCAGTATGGCTTCGCTGCGAAGGTTGTAATTAGTATGGAAGAAGTCATGCTTTCTTTTGCTACAGTCATTTAGTATTCTACAAAGAGACGTGCATTTTTAACAGACCCCACTGTGGTATGTTAAACTAATATATATCGTCTATAGTGATTAAGACATTAATTATATTTAACGGAGCAAAGCCCGAGACGTGCTGTAACATTTTTAACCATCACAGTTCTATTTCAAATAATTATAATTACTTCATTTCTCATCATTATTATTTTTATAATAGAGTTCAGTACAATTTCCTGAAAAATGCCGCCTTATCCTCGGATACATCATTATAAAAATGATATTACTGTTATTAGTGCCAATAATGCCTAGTTATGATTGTTACATTACTATTATTAACATCTTTTATTTATTTTATGTATTATCTCTTGTAATTATTGTATATGCCTTCTTACCTTCCACACTTACTCGCCGATAAGATACGATAAAGAATTATCATCTTTTTATATAAATACAGCTCGCTCTTCGCGTCGAGTTAATTGAATTATCCTAAGAGCTATATCTTCAAATTACATTGTTTCGGAGACATTTTTTCTAATCGCTATTTTAATGACAAACAAAGCCAGGCTTATACTGATAGACACTGCAGGCACGTGCAAAAACTTTTCTTAATAAATGTACCGATAATTTGTAAAAAAAATAGCATTTAATGTCTCATTAATTAATATTATCCTATTGCATTTGCAATCTCAATGCCAAAAATAGACAGACAAAGCATTTGTTTGTTTAAGAATGAATTCGGCAAATATGCTAAATTTATATATATGTTAACATCACAGCATGAAATAAACATGTCCTCCAACTAATAAGACTAATAGTTTTTATATTTTTGACATATCAAAATTTTCTACAACTTCAACATTTTACTCACTATTTTTTTCATTTCTGTTTTTCTATTTATTAGAATTTGTTCAGCGGGAATCATACAGAGGAGGTCTGATCTTTAAGATATAAAAAAAATTTACACGCAGCTTTATTTCACTTTGATCATTTATCAACGAAGATACCGATGCTGTAGATTTTTTAATAAGGCTTAAAAATATTCATATTTCAAATAAAATTAATTTTTGGAATAAAGTCTGGCATATATGTGAAAAATATTCATATTCAGAAATGAAATTTATTGTTAAACACTAATGATAAAATGCATACCTGCTATGTGCCAATATAGCCAATATACTTAATAACAAAAATATTGTCAATTGTTACGAGTTTGATAGGTTTGCTTAGATAATATTATATTTCAATGACCTGTGATTTGATTGGGTTTATCACGAGGAGAAACAATGCAATTTACTAATATTTTATACGTCCAAAATTTATTAAAGACAAACGCACAAAAGAATAAAAATTCCACAATTTTTTAACATCAATATGGAATTGAAATAAGAGAACAGATTCATAAAATGAAAATATGTACTATTTCATAAATGTTTATACAATTTTGTATCTTTGTACTTTTTTCATAATTCTGCATAATTGATTGTATGAAGAAAAAATGAAGAATTGCCAATATTAAAAATATCGGAAATAAGGATTTAAACAACGAGAAACATATTGCTTTTTTCTGTATAGTTAATTACATAATGGTAAGATATATATATGATAGAGAAAATAATAATGCACTAAACATAATCAATAATAATCTTTAAGTAATATGCAAACAATATATTGTCTTGGAACTTTCGGTGCTTTATTTGATGATTATTTATTTCTATTGTATAAATATCTAAATGCAAATTCTTCATTACTTAGTCTTCAATTTATTTGTTTAATCCACGGGCATAATTTTATTGCATAAATTCTCCTTTATGTAATTAATACACACATAAAAGTAACAGGCTCTCGACAATTTGCTTTCTTTATAGCATTAATTATTCATTTTGATGCTTAGTTTGTGAAATTTTTCTAATTACATATTCTAAAATATTATCGACTATAATTCAGCTATAATTAAGCAATTGACTGGAGAAACATGTAAATAAAATTATACGTGAAAAATAATTACGATATGTACCAAGTATATCGGCGAACAGCGAAAACAATCACGACTGATAGGCTCCTTTTGAAAATTTAATGCATGATTTGATAAATATTAATTCAAGGATTGCAGACATACATCATCATAATTCTTCAAATTTTCAACGCTCTATAAAGAGTATTTTATTTTTTACACATATTTCGTTATATTTGATTTCATGCAACATTAATAGTTTAATTATTAACGTTGCAGAACTTGCGTTGCCTACAGCAACATCTTGCCATTGTAACTATGTTTGTAAAAATTGAAGACAGGCTATATATGTGTAAGATTGTTTCACGAATGCGTCCACACGTATTCGCTATTGTGTTATAACGCGAATATTCCTAAGTGTTTCGTTCGGCCATGATTGTAATATTCCAGCTCTACGTATTAGCATTTTCTTGATGGTTCATTATTCGAAGCCTAACTAAAGTTTATTTTCTAATCGTTAAGACGAGATAAAAGGAAGAATAAATATTTAGTTTAATTGCAGAATAATTGATTAGTAAATGTACTTGGCAGAAAATCTTGTAGGCTCAGAATGATTTCTTCTCTTGCGATCTTTCCTAGCCTTGACTCAATCAATATAATACGGTTCTCCTGTTTTTACAGAATGATACCAGTGCCACTTCTAAAGTAATTAAATAAAATGCTGAGCGAGGATTAAAGCTTTAATATTTTATATTACGTATGAGCGACATTTTTTACAAGCATTACCGCATGTGAGTCACAAAAATCCGACAATATGGTATCGATATAGGTTTTTATCCATAGCATGTATATATTGATTGATTAAAGAAAACCAGCGCGAATCGCAAAAGGCTGCAGAGAAAGTGGAAGAAAGTAATTCGATCACTGCTTATAAGAATTATACAGTTTTATATTACCGATTATATTCTCTCTTGTCATCTTATGATAAATATAATTAGTGCCTTGAGTATGACAACGAGTACGAATAAAACTTGTATTGTATGATGAAATGTACTTTGTATATGTGCCTGATTCGCGAAAGAGATAAATTGGAGACGTATCCTTTCTCTTGATTTCGTCTCTTGTATTCTCTAATATTTTGTGCCTCCTAATTTAGACTATTTATTAAGAATTCCGACTTTGCGTACTGCGCTCTGTCTTATTTCAAACCAGTGAGAGATATGGTACCTTATACTTTCTAATAACGAATTGTTATCCCGTAATAACGAAAACGTGCTTCTTTCAAATGCCATTCGCGTGCATGCTCGAAATAAGCACGCTACCTATTTATAATAATAATATTATTATTATATAAGAGCCGCTAAGTAGAATAGTGGTACGAATCGCGGGGAAAAAATAAAATTTCTACACATATCAGTTTCCGTTAATTAATCTGGTATCGCGTAGATGGTTTGACATAATATAAAAATTAAATCTTATAATAATTGCTGCAATTTTTCAACGTAAGGATCGATATAAGATATGCTACTACTATTCTTGCGAGTCGTAGAAAGTTCTTGTGACACGTAGAAAGTTCGGAATATCTATACTCGGACACCTGTCTTGTGCGTATTTTCCAATCTCCTGTAAAAATATTTAAAAAAAATGGAAAAAAAAATTGGCGGGTCAACTGCATCGGAACGCGTCGACCACGCTTCATGCGCAATCGATTTATTTCTATAAAGAAAAATTTCCTTTTTCTTTATTGCAGAAAGTAATATAAGAATCGCATGGTGATATGCCAAAACAAGTGTCCTTGATTTAGGTGCATTGTAAATAATTAAAGTTAAATATCTCAAAAACTAATGTAATGTAGAGAACATTTTTTACTATATGCCTAAGATTATATATCGTCTTACGATTCTCGCGCAGTTATTATTTATACATTATTAATACTGTAATTGAATGTATAAATTTAACATATATTATGTAAACCTAAACTATTGTTTCTTTACTCATTCACCTTTTCCGAACTCGTGCAGATAATAATAGTGAAGAGCAGTTAATATTAGAAACTTTTTTAATCTCGAGGAGCGTATAATTAATAATTTTATCAGAATATGTATATTATGCGATCTTCTACAAGATAACAATGATAAAATATATTCCATAACTATAAGACAATGGGAAATCAATTAGACTACGGACTTGAAATAGTAGCTGCTGCTCAGATGCCATTTAAAACTCGCATAAAGTATTTTTATTTTATATTATTACATTGATAAAGAGAGTTGTTACCTTTAGTAAATTTGCAATTTTACGAACGTATTTTCATAATAGAAGAAGTTAAATTGATGTGGATTGGCGAATTGTTCCTCCATTGGTTTGGGCGTTTTTCTGAAAAAAAAAAAAAAAAATCGCACATTCATCAAAAACTAAATGCAAAGTTTGCATTTAGACAAGATTTCGTTGATTTGTTTTACATACGCATGAAACAAGTTCAATAAATTAGATAATTATAAATGTAAATTATTATCTTTTTTATTTCTCTTTTCTCTTCTATTTATTCGATATATTTTTAATAAACAGATTTCTTTTTTTTTTGTATTTTTTAAGGAAATATTGAAAATAGTAGTTGCATAAATGTTAGCTTGCAGGTGCTATAATAACGCAGTAATGAATTATTGAATTAACATTATCGAATATAGTGTAATGTTGCTATGTTATTTTCTTCTATACTACCATTATTCATAAATTATTTTTATGCAGATAATATTCGTACATCGTCATAACGCGCTCCGAAATTAATGAAATAATGAGATTTTTTGAGATACGAATAACACGAGCTTTTCAACTATTTCTCTGATTTGCATGCTCCAGTTTGTAGATTTAATGAAGATGCAAAGTATAGAATCATGTGTTTCAACATTAAAAATTTATTTAAACTTTAGTACTTGTTATTCCTATTTACTAATTCTCCTCAATATTTTTTACTAAAATAATATGTGAAAATGTTGACAGGGACAAAAAAACATTAAAGAAGGAAAATGTTCTTAAAAATATTCTGTCAAATATGAAAAATATGTTAAAGATACTTGTCAACTTTGCTCGCTGATATTTCGACAGTAATTTATTTCCACGCTTATCTGAACGCAAATAAAGTTAGATCGTGTTTATGCATGTTGCTATATTTGATCCAACGTCATCCATCTCATTTTTTAACTATGACTGTTCAGATGCATAAATGTTAGTAGAATTAATTGCTGAAATTAAAAATTTGTAATTTACGCAATAAATCACTGTATTATGTACATATGTATATTTGTGTGCAGTATATTCTGAACACAGTTAAAGCTAGAGGATGAGAGAGGTAACTGATAACACTGCATTAAATATTTGAAGCAACACAAACTTGGTCCTTAGCTTCATTCGATCTCGGAGGAGCGTGGAAATAAATACTAGTTGCCGAAATCAGCAAGAGGCTGAAATCGAACATCAACAAAGGCCGTAATGCGGTTGGAATCGCTGATGCACGGTCTTCATCGCGGAAATAGACTACGAAACAGCAAACTCGGTTAACAGTGATGCGTTTCGCGCCCCTATTCCCCCGATACAAATTACAACTCGGCAATTGGTGGAATCGATATCGCCCTTTTGCTCTTCACGAAGTATTCACCTCTCATTTCTCTGACACTCGGGTTAACTTTTGATTGCATCACCGAGCAGAAGTTTAAGTGTACTCGATAAAGGATACTCCGAAGATAGATGAATCCGATAAAAAGGGTATGTTTTTTGATGGGTTGTGTCCGGAATTTTACTGAACGATATATATTCCGCGTAGCGCAAGAGACTCCGCGGAGTCTCGTCAAGATATCTCTCGTTGGAAAATCGCACACATGATGTCTCCCTGAGATATATTCCGCATAAAAGCATCTGCAGAATATTTTTAACAGACATGCTAAAATATACTGTCACCTCCATACTATAATAACAGCGAAACGGATTAACTCCACGAAATAAAATGCAGGGAAAATTGAAGTTATAAGTAAACTAAATTATGCGCTGGTGCTAAAAATTTTACGAAAAGTATTTTGAAAGTTTTTTAAAAGATAATTTATCGAAATGAAGTTTGGCTTTCGATCAACTTTGCTTTCAAGATGCTCGCGTATATACATTGGATGATACATTCGTATAGTATTACGTATTCTGTCTCATTGAAGCGACAAACTATTTTTAAAAACATTTTATACAATAAACGGAGTATCTATTTATTCTTTCTTTCAATAAGTAAAGCTATTCCTTTATTTCCTTTATATTTGATTTCTTTAAATAAATCCGATAACTTCCGATGACTCTCGTCTCCTGCATTTTTCGCACTGCCGGACCGCCGCACGCTTGTTATAGAAGAAACTTAATAGATTTCTGGAATACGAAGTTTTAAATTGAGTTGCGCAAAGTTGCGTGATCTTGCTAAATAATTACCAAATAATAAATCCATAATTCTGCGGAGAAACTTAGTTTAGAAACTTCGCATTTCAGGAATCCATAAATCTTCTTTCACGACGGAGGGGAAAGGGTGTGTGTGTGTGTGTGTGTGCAACTATTCCTTTATCAATTTATTGCACCATTTATTCAACGAAACGCAGCCGAGAGTGCTCATTAGCACGCCTACGTACATACGAAATCACGTACATACATAAGCTTTCGGACGACGTCCCCATGCATTTCGCCGAAAGGCGGTATATTTCCCAACGGTTCGCGATCTCTTAATTAACGAACGCGACGGTACACAACACAACGTAAACTCGCGAAATTCTCGCGCGCGAGTAACTAAGTTGCCTGATTAAAAAAATGCCTCGGCTACGAGGGGGAGCTAATAAGAGCAAGTCAAGCCCGGTTGCCGTTGCCGTGTCGTTCTTTTTTCCTCTCTTCCTTCTCCTCCTTCACCTCCTCCTTTTCGACAAGCAGAATGAAAACGTTTACGCAGCAGACGCGGAAACGTACGCCCCGCGCCGTTAACATTTCGTTTTTCCAGCGCGCTCGCTGAAAAGGCGAGCGGAAACGTTTTATTACGGGCGTGTGTGTATACCGCTTGCGTGCGTGGACAAATATGCAACGAGGCGAATTTACGAACGAGTAAACAGCTCGCCGGGCATATACAATATACATACATATGCTGATCATGCATCCCGGATGCTGCGATTGCCAACTCGCCGGAAAATATCAGTCTGACGGACGTTTTTTTTTTTGCCCCTCCCTTCCAGAGCCGCGTCCACCGCGTTATGAAACGCTTCGTTACATCGCATCGGGATTACGGCGAAGTTACGCGATGCATAATATATCCAGGTGTTTGACGTGCTCTTCTCTTTCTCCGAGCTGCCTCTTCTCCGGGCGACGAAAGAAAAAAAAAAAAGAAGAAAAACGCGTTATGCGAATGCAAACCCCATTATTTCACCGCGCGCTCGCGTTATGTAAACGCAGGAAAATTGACGTAATTCGCGAGCTTTGGGTGAAAAATTATATTGCGTTAATGAGCGCGCGTGCGGAGCAGGGAGACCATTTTAAATTGCGTTTTTGCACGATTGCACGATAATTGGGGGGCTATGGCGAGATAAACTTGGCCGCGAATAAACTACTTGGCCGCGAAAACTGCCATTTTTATTCCGGCGTCGGAGAGAGAACCGGCGCAAATTGAGCGAACGTCGTTGAAACAATTAACGAGTTCGCGGAACAGTCGGGTCGAAGGTGTTACATCTGAATTTGAAAATGTACCTTTAATCCCTCGAACACGCGGGGGGGGGGGCGATATCGTGATTAACTAATTGCTAGCGGAGGCGCCCTGAATGGAGCCCCGTATGTAATAATTAATTATATTCAATCCATCAATTATGCGATCGTATTAGCGAAGTGTACAACAGATCGCAATTGCATAGGCCGCAAAGTGCCTGTAACAATGCATAATCGCCGAGATGGCGAACGTGCAGATTGCGCCTAATTCGCGCTATCGTTACTCCCGCGCTAATTGTCATACCGCGCGTGTGCATGCGCGAAATGTAGAAACTTCGAAATAGACCTGCAAAATGGGCATATCTCAATCCCGCCTGTTAATTACGTTCTGTTTACATTCGCATACATCCTAGAATATACGCGTCGCGCGATATAATATATGTATACCGGTATCGCGCTTCTTGAGTGACGCGCTAATTAATAGACGCGCTCGGAGCGGCGTCTTAGAAGCATGGGGAGCTACCGCCGCCTTTTACAAACGTTTACGCTGTCTGCAGAACTTCACGTGCCGTCAAAAGGAGCTGAGAGAGGAGGTCCGGCTCTCTAACGGCACGAGAATTAAATTCTGTCGAGGAGCGAAAAACGTGTCGTCGTCGTAGCGCGCGAGAGGCACGAAGCTCTCAGAACGCTTCTATACTCCACGAAACCGTCGTATTATTGTTATCTCGTGCGACTTGGCACTTTTATTTTTACGCGCCTCGCTGTGCGTCGCATTAATTTTTCTTTCTAATTGTTTCCGAGAGATATCTCGCGCTCGCACCTTCCACGAGATAAG